TTACCTTTAATTTGCGCACTCGTTCAGCATTGTGTGATTTTTTTTCACCGAGTTATTTAACATTGAAGCAAAAAAGGTCATTTTTACTTCAAAGTTCAATAACTCGGTGAAAAAAAATCGCACAATGCTGATCGAGTACTCAAATTAAAGCTAAAGATTCACGCTTTCGAACGATGTCAACTTCATTTGCGCGCGATTTTTATTTTACTTTTTGGAACTTCGCAAACTTGGTAAAAAATTTTTAGATTTGATGCATCTCCATTTGCATCCGTGCAGCTTTGTAAAGAATCAGTAAGTCATTTAATGAATTATGGATTTCAAAAGTAGAGACTTTAAGCTGTGAAATGCTTTTTCGATCGTTATGTTATGATAATTTTTGACAAAGTTGCTCTATCTTGAATTTTTAGAAATTATCGATATATTAACGCAGTGTCCGGTCAATTAGTTTGGTGACTGTATATGTACACTTCGAATTCTTTGTAACTTCATAGTTAATAATATTATGAATCGTTGAATCCGAAAAAAAATCTAAAGTAAAAATTTGAAATTTTACAATGGTTTACTCAGGGCAGCGGCTCAAAGTCTGACAAATTTTTGATTTGTATAATATATGCTATAAAAAAATTTGTCTTAGACAAGATATATTAAAACTTTGTATCCGGGGATTTTTGGAGTCGCTGATTTAAAATCTAAAGTCAAAATTTACAAAATTTCAGAAAGTACAAGGTTGCAGACAAAAAAGTTATAAAAAGCTGTTGGATTTAATACAATCAAATTTGGTATTCGGTTTTTTCGATCGCCAAATTTTAATAGAAAGTAAAAATACGAAAATTCAAAATAATGAATCCAATATTATCAACATTGCATTATCAGTGCGCCATGTCAGATCTGTCATTTTAAATTTTCAAAATTTTCAAAATCAAATTGCATACTCGTAATCAACGACCTCAAAAACCACTTGTATACCAAGTTTCAAGAAATTTGTATATAAAGAAAAATATACGCTTCAAAGAGTTTTTTCAGTTACTAATATATTTTATTCGTTATGCTTATTATTATGATAGAATTTACGAAGTGAAAGAAGAAAATCTTAGCGGACTGAAAATTATTACAGGCCCGAGAGGGTTGTTTTAATCGATCGATAATAATATTATATTGCGTGAATAACGATGATAACGTTTCAACTAATTCGATCTACATCATGTACAGATGTGACCGAGACGTGATATAATACACGTTTTATTGTAGTATAGCTCATCGAATAAGCCGTATCGAACAGGACGTAAGTATACACCGAGACGAAGAGATGAGAGAGTCGCGAGAGAACATGAACTTTCGATTATACGCACTATAAATTTTCAAACCACGCACCATTAACTCGTCGATAGCTAAAAGTCTGGTTGAATCGATGAATCCCTGGTAGAAGGTAATATCGGTCGGTGAATTATTTCGCGGGTCTGACGCGTTAAGAGTCGCGAAGACGTTTCCGACGCCATGCAATCACATAGATAATTAGCGGGACGAATTAACAGTCGAGTCTAATAGAGAAAAATACATTTCTATGCCATTAACCCTTCGAGCACATCTGGCGGAAGATACGCTCGAAGAGTATAAGCATCAAGACCATACTAAAGGCAACCATCGATCTTTGCTCGATTTATAACTCGATGCCAATCGATCAATTTCCATCTAGTCTCTGTTTTAATAGACACGAGAAGAACAATTTTGCTGAAAAATCTAAAATTTTGTAAACCTGAAAATAAATTTTGTCGAATCATCAAAAAATTATTGCTAGAATGTTTAAAAAATGTTCATATTTTAGCAATCATTTTGCATTTTCAATTTTTTTGATGGTCCAATAAAATTGATTTTCAGATATATCGGTATTTAGCAAAATTTTAGATCTTCCAGCAAAATTGTTCTTTCCAAGAAAGGAACGGAAGAAATTTGACAATATAATATAAAAACCGATAAAAAATAATTAAAAAGTGAAAAATTGACTTATACGTTCAATCGTATTTTGGAAAATTATTGATTTGAAGAAATCAACGATCAAATTTGCACCATAATGCGGTTAAGATTCTCGTAAAAGAAGAAATTCACGTTATTTCCTCGTCAAGTGTGTTAATTATAAAAATAAATTTATTTAAAAATAAATGATTGTAATAAAAAAAATAATCTCTTAAAGAACGGCCCTCAAAGTAATTATACTGACCGTAGCGAAGACAAAGGTGATGTATTTGTACAGACAATGCGTCGTAAATGAACGAAATTACATGAAACGCGCCATTAAAATGAAAACGGATAAAAAAGCGTGACTACGATCGCGAGGAGTAAATCATCGCTCGGGGTACATAAAGAAATCGGAGATAAGGATTAGCTCGTCTGACGAACGGATCGACCGCTTGATCGAATCGAGATGGGCGCTCTCAGCTTCGCTCTTCCCTTCACAGTTTTGCTCTGCTTGTTGCCATCGTTGTTGGTAAGTCTATTTTTTTTTCTTAGATTACGCTGCTCGATGAAACGCACGCGACGTTAAGTTGTTCGACTGTATTTTTCTCAGAACGCATATAATCTTGGAAAAGTGGCAACGACCGTAGCCGAGCAATTGAACAATCTCGTCGACATCATTGGCGTATCAAAGGAAATTCGCGACGACAATGGGGAAATCGTGGACGAGTCTTCGAATCCATTGATAATAACGAAATCCGTGGACTCCGTGGGGGACCCAACGAAACTGAACGTGGGTTTTCAAGCCAAAGTCGAATCGAAGAATCTTCCGTTGAGAACTGAACGTGGGTTTTCAAGCCAAAGTCGAATCGAAGAATCTTCCGGTGAGAAATCTCTCGACGAAAGTCCAGCTCGCGAATCGAGCGAAATGGTCACAGGGCGCGCTGTCAAGCGGGAATACATATAGTTTCTAGAGAATTCTCGTCGGAAGAGAACTGGATTAAAGGCTCGTCGAGGAGCCTCACATGAAAAACGATTTTGTTGAAAGATCTAAAAATTTTGCTGAATATAAATCTGTATATTAATTTTTGTTGAATCATCAAAAAATTTTGTTGGAATGTTAAAAATGATAAGCATTGCTATAAAACGTTTTGATGTTCTAGCAATTATTTTGAGTTTCCAATAAAATTATTTTGATTATAAACCAAAATTATTTTCAGATCTGACTCCAGCAAAATTGTCCTTTCCGTGCAGAGACGCGACGGCGGCGGAGGGAAGCAGGAGGAACGCGACTGTTTTTCACCTGTACATCCCGGATATCAAGGATATGTTGAGAGAGAAGTTCGCCAAGGCGAATATGCAGCTCGGATTGGACGTTGGTGTCACGGGCGAGCACGCGGACAAGATTGACGCCTTGGTCGTCGATGACCGCTCGAGAGGAAAGAAGAATTACATCCGTCTCTGCAAGAGATTAACCGACGGATCGACAACGAGTCTGATGCAGAAACTGCGCGGCAAGGATTGCGTGAAGCTCCTGAGGAACGAATTTTATCTTGAGCCAACGAGGGACGCGAATTGGAGAAGGGACGACACGCTTAGGCTCGTAGGACTGAAAATCGGGACGAAGACCGACAACGGAAGGGATTACAAAGACTTCGGGAACGAGAGTCAACAGCGGAGCGAAGCTTCGATTTCAGATATTTTGGCTAATTACGATGAATCGCCTGGGAAAGTGGCGGCCGACAAGCTTGGAACGGGTCTGAATATCAAGATGCCTATGATCGATGGTAGAATCGCTAATCTCATGCGCGACGGTAAACTCTCGCTGTCCGCGTCGACCATGTTAAACGTGTGAGAGAGTGATAATTAACGATTAAGTCAGCTTCAATTAACTATTTCAATTTACACATTTAATATATATGTATGTATTTATGCGTGTACAAAAAATAAAGACATTACTTGTGCCGTTAAACACATTTCAATTTGGATTAATGCGACATCATAATAGCAAAGTAGCTTACGTTAAGGCTATCAAACATAAAAGAGATCGAAATTAAATATAAATACTTAAACGCGAAATATTCACCAGACAGTCACAGTTTGTTTTAAACCCAAAGTATAACGTGTAAAGTTATCATTTCGTGAAAAATCATTAATTGATTATTATTCTAGTTTTACTTTCAATAGTTTTATAGTTCCTGATAAATTAAATAAATAATTCTAGCCATTAAAGCAAAAAAATGCATAAAAATAAACTGAGACGTCACACAAAAAAAAACGATTTTGCTGGATATAAATTTGAAAGTAGTTTGTTGAACCTTTAAAATAATTTTGTTGGAAATTCAAACTGGCTGCTAAAATATCAAAACGTTTTACAGCAATGTTCATTATTTTTTAATTTCCAATAAAATTATTTTGATAGTCCAATCCAAAATTGTTTTCAGAACTGTAGCTAACAATATTTTTAGATCTTCGAGTAAAATCGTTCTGTGCAGGTTCACACAGCATCTCATCATCAAGTTATTGTAAACAGTTTTAAAAGACGTAGTTTTCCTCTTCCAATATTTCTTATTACAATTGGAAAATGTTCTACTAGAAGAATAATATATAATATTGCACTGTGACTATTCAAGCATCTAACAAGGAAAGAATTCAGAGAATCTACATTAAAGATGGCGGACCAAACTCTCTTATTATTGAAACAAGTGTATTTCCTAGATGTTTGCAACATTTTGTCTATACTCTGTATATATACTGTATATGTATTTGTACATTTATATGTACAAAAAAAAATGAAGACACTACTTATGCTGTTAACATGTCTTAATTTTCACGAGGAAAATATGAAAACTGAAGCGTATGCGACATTATAATAGCGAAGTACTTAGTTTGCGTTGAGACTTCGATGTAAAAGGGATTGGAGTTAAATATAAACATTTAAACGCGAAATATTCGCCGGACAGTCCGCAGTTCGTTTTGAACCCGAAGCATGGGACTTTTAGCATGACATGCAAGACCTACCACCCTTTTATAATTCTACATTACCCTTCGCCGAGGAAAAAAGGATTCCAGATCCGGTCCGAGGTCAATTCCCTCTGACTTACGCTCAAGGTTGGAGAGCGTGTGACACGGCCGTTAAGACACAATAGATCATTTCAGGCTGTTGTGGCATATAATTAATCTTAACAACGGCAGCCGCGCGCACATACGGATATTTCGCGGCGATTGGCGGCCTTCGCGCGGACAACCAGAACAAGATCTAAATGATTTTCCGCTTTCAAGCCTCTCCCCAGCTTGTTCCGACGTCTCGGTAATGCGGTATGACGTCGACAATTTATAAATAAATTGCCGAGGAGCGAGCGATGCGAGGTGGAGGATCGAAGAGGATCGTGAAAAACACTGCGCTTGCAAATTGATTAAAAGAGTCGACTTCGAGAGTCTCTTCGCGCACGACTGCATGCATGTGTACGCGCATTGAGTTTACCGCACGTATTATACAATCACGTGTATATCGCGTCCGATCCGATCCGAGATCCGATAATTTGCCAGTTTCCAACTGGAATACCGCGTATGTGTAATAGAGGGATCGGGTGAGACGAGAGCTGCGCCGCGCCGCGCTGTTTCCAAGGATTACGTGATCATCTATTAAAGCGCGGTAGAGGACACTGAGACAATAAATGGACTTCAATTGATTAATAAGCAAACCTGATGCTCATGAAATTGGCAGTTTTGGCTTAATAATATTTTGTATTTTGTGAATGAAAATCTATCAAGTTCTTGTCCATTTCCGATGCAGTATTGTTACAATTAATGAACATAGTAATACTAAACAATAACGAAGTAATAATAATAATGAGTGTCTATACGGAAAGAACGATTTTGTTGAAAGGTTTAAAAATTTTGCTAAAAACAGATCTGAAAATAATTTTTTATTGAATCATCAAAATAATTTGTTGGAATGTTAAAACTGATAAGCACTACTATAAAACGTTTTAATATTTTAGCAATTACTTTGACTTTCGTAAAAAATTATTTTGATTATTGAACAAAAATTATTTTCAGATTTGGATTCAGCAAAATTGTTCTTTCCGTGTAGGAAAACTGCATACATTTCTACCAGGGTAGCTACACGAGCTTTCTGCAAGTTGTACACGTACACGGAAAGAACAATTTTGCTGAATCCAGATTTAAAAATAGTTTTTGTTCAATAGTCAAAATTATTTTGTGCGAAAGTCAGAATGATTGCTAGAATATTAAAACGTTTTATAGCAATATTTATCAGTTTTAACATTCCAACATAATATTTTAATGATTTAATAAAAAATTATTTTCAAAATTATTTTCTGTTTTTAGAAAAATTTTTAGGTCTTTCAACAAAATCGTTCTTTCCGTGTATATATAGAAATTAACTGACGTTTTGCCTTTGTTACAGCTTCCGGCTGGATCCGACAGTAAGGCATACCTAGTGGTCTGTTACGCTGGATGGTTCATGCACATTTTTAATCGAGGGATCAACCACTACTAAAAAAATGTACAGTGATTGTCAATTATGGCAATACAACACACTTTATTGCTAGTATTGCTATTGTATTGCTTTCGTATTGTCAGTAATGTTACCATCTATTACCTCATGTACTGCCGTCTATTGCACAGTATTGCCAGGTATTGCTAATGTATTGCTAGGTATTGCTCGAGATATTGCTAGCATTATAGGTATGCATTGATAGCGTATTGCTAGTATTGTATTGCCGCAATACTGGCAACATATTCCTAAAAAAATGTACACTGATTCCCGTAGTGGTTGACCCCTCGTTTTTAACAACTTGTCGGAGTAAACCAAGTACAAATACAACGTATGCTGTCTATGAAGTAAGTTTTATAATTTGAATGACAGGGGATAAGATTAAAAAATATTAAATAATCTAAAGCATCTAGATTGCTGAAGATTTATGTATCGTATTTAAACCGATGACAATTATATGATTTAAATTTTTTTCTATTTGCGTTAAATAATCTCTTTTTTCTTTTAACGTTTATCGATCAAATTACGTTTGAAAAGAATTGATGACGACTGCATTATAATAAATAAATTTTGTTTTAGAAATATGCAGGCTTCCCAAAAGGCCATGTAGCTATCTTGGCTTATTACGACACTTGTCATAATTACTACTTGCTTCTCAGGACAGGATTGGCAATATATGGTAAATATCACAATTGCGATCTAATTCTTAAGAGAAGAATTACTTCACCTGATATGCTTATATCACTGTACCTTATGGATACAATGTCCACTATTCCTGGCTTACCAGGCCTCTTCGTTGCAGGTACTTAATATTTTTATCGCAAATAAACTGGTTCTTGTTTAATGTTTTATAGAAATTACGTGTTACAAATTATTAAAATAAAAATATTTGAACGTACTAATGTTTTAAAAGTTTTTACGTGTAATTTCAAGATAATTTTAAAATGAAATCGCGCAGTGAATATGTCTATGGATATAATAATACGAATCTTAAATCTTCTCTTATATGTATAATCAAGATAATAGTTTTAAAACAAAGATTTTTTAATATTAATTTCGGATTATTTATGTATTTTCAGGTATTTTTAGCGCAGGCCTAAGCACGATTTCTACAGCATTAAATTCTCTGGCGGCAATAACGTTGGAAGATTACCTGAAACTCTTATATAAAAAGTGCATTGGGCATAATTTTTCATCTACAAAGTCTACATTGTTAAAGTGTTTGCTTTTACATTCAGTATTATTTCCATTGTGTTGGCATTTTTAGTGCAATTTTGGGTGGAGTACTTTTCAGGTCATTACTATTTCTAAAAGATCAATGAGGAAAAAAAAATTTTTTTCATCTTAGGCTCTCTACTCTATTGTTGGAGTAACTGGCGGTCCGTTGTTAGACATTTTCATGCTTGGCATGGGCACGGAATCGGCGACGGAAGGTGATGCGATAACCGGTGTTCTCACGGCGTTTTTATTTTTATCCTGGATCGCCTTTGGTCAGTTCCACCCGATACCGCCGAAATTGCCAACTACTATTGAAGGCTATAATAATATTGTAAATATAACGATATCCGTTTTCTATAACATTACGAGCCCTTCCAAATAAGTTATTTTAATAACAGCTACTCGAAAGAACGGCTTTGCTGATGAATATAAAAATTAAGACAGATACAAATCCAAAAATAATTGTTGAATTGTCAAAATAATAAGACGCTCGAATTAGAGTTGCTAGAATGTCAAATTTTTTTGTGATGTTACGTTGATGGATAATAAAACAGAGTGATTTCTATAGCAATCGAAAATATATTTAATTATCAATAATGAATAATTAATAAAGATAGTATATTTAGTTGGACTTTAATATTGTTCACAAAGAATGGAAATAAATTTAGAGTAAACACCTGGCTTTTTTAATGAGAACTGGAATCGCACAATGTATCGCAGAACAAAAAATAATATTAGAACTGTCAAAGAAAAATTCTATCAATCAGAAGAAAACGATCCTCTTTGTATCTACCAAAAAGTATTCGATTGCTTGTAATCTAAAACTTATTTATCAGGCCTCGTGGTTCGTTCGTTCACTCGCAAATAAAAAGATAGTAATTTTCGCTCGTTCACTCGCAAATAAAAAGATAGTAATTTTTACATAAATACTTCACCAAAATCGTTAAATATTAAGTCAATATTGTCATGTATACGCACGTGGGATTATCTAACGGATTGCCATATATCCTTTTTAGAAATTCTAGCGACAGCTCGTACTTCTATTTGCATCGTATTTCATACATGTGGTACTCTCCCCGGATTCTTAATACATAATTCTTTTTTGGACTGCTTATCAGTAAGCTGTCTCGTTTATTCATTAAAAATCAAAATGATGAGTTAGACACTAATTTATTCTTTCCCATGATAGCGCGATGTATACGTTCTAGAGTATGTAATATCATATCGAATAAAGAAAGGTCTCCGTTAGACAAAAAGTACTTTTTCAACGATGTAATCTACGAGGAAGACGATGCCGCCCATAAAATCTGTGCAAAACTCTAATATTTTAATAGTAATCTTTGATATTAAATTTTTTAAAATTGTGAAATAAATAAAAGTATTTTAAAGTAATAAAGTAATAATAAAGAGAATAAAATATGAACAAGTGTACGAACACTTAAGTAGGTATGTGAAGCCTATTCCATGTGATTTCATGTGATTAATTACTTCAATATTTGACCAGCTATAAAATCATTATAAAGAGCAAATAGTCATAAAAGTTGTATTTCAGTGCACCTAACAATGAAACTGAAAGATATCATTCCATAATTCGACTGCAATACACTAGAAAGATCGTTAAAAGATTTAGTGCTATAGAGGCAGCCTCATCATGTTATCAAGGTCCTGGTTTCGCGTGATGTTTTATCTCATCAAAATTACAATCTATTAAATGTATGCCCGTAGTTTTTTTTTAATAAATTGTCGATAGGAATATGATGACAAATGTCAAAAATTTTGATAAAGTCGAAGAAGCTCGAGATAATATTTCTGATATCTGTAGCGTGCCTCACATCATCCAACCGAGGCTGCAATATTGCTGGAATAGCAATCTGGGAAGATTCCTATTGAAGCGGTTTGTGTGATGTAACTGACTTTTCCGATAGGCAGGTTGGAAATGGATCTAATAAGTTAGAAGCCTCTAAATAATTTGTGATTTGTTTAATTAATAATAAATGCGTTCAAGCGCTTTGGAAGTGGAGCAGAAAACTGAGATAGAGCTATCACGCAGCTCAAAAGGAGATCTCACTTTTGATATAGAATAGATGATAGCTGTTTTCCATAGGTCTGGAAACTACACTCCAAAGGTGAGACAGCTAGCGATTGGTAATATGTGTAACTGTATAGGAATGATCCAACTTACTTAATTTAATACCCACTGCTTTTATTTTATTTTATTTCTTAAATGAAAATTTTCAATATAAGGAGTGAAATTTAACAAAGTGTCATCGATTTAACAGACGTTATAAACTAGAGAACTGAAAGCACCTTGAAAAAAATGCGTTTTTTAGGTATTTAAATAGTTTAGGTATTTAAAGAGAGTTTACATAAGCTACGTAAACGTTGTTTGCAAGCTGATAGGGATTATATTAAATGATGTATTCATAAATTTTTCGATCTTTTTGTGTGCTTTTTATCCAAATTAAACATGTTTTAATATTTTAATATAATATTACTTTTTTTCCTTTGTGTACGTATTTTGCAAAATATATGTGATTTGCCGAATTAATATTGAGTTACTCTTACGTGGAAATTGAAAACAATAAAATTAAATTTTAATCGCTAAAAAAATATCTTCCTCTATCTATAACTGTAAGACTCATTATACAAAATAATTTATTACTATTTACTGAATTAATCTTTGTTCTATTATACAAAGTTACCCTCTTTATTTGTCCTGCAAATAATTTTTAGCCCATTAAAATTTCTTATATCAATTTTTAAATCTATCAGATTGCAATACGTATAAGATCGCAATATGTAACTGTTAGATTGCGATATTATTAAATGTTTTTGCAAAAAAAGAATAAGCATTTAGTAAAAGTTTCTGATAGTTATTATATGTGTTACTATTTACCCCGATGATGTTACAATTAACCCCAGATCTGGGGTTAAAAGTAACACCTGACAAATATTATAAAATCTAAGATTATAAATAGTTATGAATAAAATATCTTTAATATCTATATGATATTTTAATGTAAAAAAAATCATAGTTTAAAATTAGCTATTCCTAATTGATTAACTTAAAAGGGATAAAGAAGAGCAATTCGTTTTCGAAAGTGTTACAACTAAGCCTCGGTCTCCCCTATAGGACTATCGACTTTTACAAATGATGCAATACTTGCAGCTGCAGTTTGCGAGATATTGTTGCGTGAAATAAACTCGACTCCACCTCGTATTTCAATATCACAATAATTAACGCGATACGGCGCTGTGTGATATCGCAGATATCAAGAATTATTCTTTCACGTTGTAATCTATCCGCTATCTTCGAACAAAATGATTTAAAAGAATTACGCTATGTTTCGAGTATTTCAGTAAATAATAACGTAAATCAATCACGCCGCGGTGTGAAGTGACTAAGTATTTACACGGAAAACGATTTTCCAGAGATTCTTAAATTGAGCTGGATACAGATCTAAAAAAAAAATTTTGTCGGACTATTAAAATAATTATGTTAAAAACTCAGTATCGAGTAATGCTGCAAAAAATTTGATATTCCAGCAACTGATTTCCAATAATTATTTTGATGGTCCAATAAAATTATTTTCAGATCTGCATTCAGCTAAATTTTAGAATCTTTTAACAAAATTATTCTTTCCATCTATCACGGAAAGAACGATTTTGCTGGATACAGATCTGTGAAAATAATTTTTGTTGGACCATCAAATAACTGTGTTGGAAATTCAAACTGATTGCTAAAATATCAAAACGTTTTACAGCAATCATTATCATTTTTACTTTCCAAAATTATTTTGTTGGTCTAACAAAATTATTTTTAAATCAAAATTTGTAGACCTTCCAGCAAAATCGTTCTTTCCGTGTAGCATTACAACAGTCTAAAAAAAATAATTATATTCATTCAATGTATTAATGAAACTAATAACATTTTACTAAAATAAAAACATGGCGTATTTCCTTCATTAATACTGTTATCGAATTAACAAGACTACTTTCATTTAAATGCTGCCGGCGAATGCTGCAGTTAATACAATATTATATTTTTCCCGTGTATTAATCGCAAAAGTGTAAAGCATATCCGAGACTTTTATAACACGTTATATTCTGTGCTGTGCGCAAAAGTGATAAAAGCCGCGCAAGTGCCGGCGCGACGGCGACGATGTAACGATCATCGGGGCAGAAGCCCAATCTGTAGGTCAACTCGCTTGGAAATTCATTTGATGAATGGAGCAAGGTACTTGTGCCCGGCATGCTGACAACCGACTCACACGTTTGAATTTAATTGTTTTTAGCTGAACTTGAGTAGGTACAATAAAATAGAACAATGCATGCGCTAAGTGCGTGCCATGTGTTTCTATTTTTGATTCATATAGTAAATTTTCTTAATATTTAAAAAAAAATTATATTATTAATATAAATATATGTCTCATACATCGCATATTTCTAATGGTCTAATTTTTTTAGCGTAATCTAAAAAAAATAGCGAAACAATGAATCAGCGTCAAAAAGAGCGTGAAAAAAGAACAACAATAAAATTCAATATCTGATTTTTTTTTAGAGAATATATTATATTAAAAAATCACGCAAAAAATATTATCAGAAACCAAGATTCACTTTGAAAGTGAAGAACTTTCTTCGCTTATTTGGGTTATAAAAACTTAATTTGTGTATCCTGACTATATCTGATGTTAATTTTTTATAATACAAATAAGCGAAGAAAGTCTTATTCGGTCAAAGCGGATCTTAGTGCCTAATAATACTTTTTGCATGAACTTTTTATGGTATATATTTTTAAAAAAGCAGATATCGAATTTTATTGTAATTTCTTATTCACACAATTAACATCTACACGGAGAGAATTTCCTTTTAAAATTTACTCTGAAAATTTTGTTAATCGTGGGACAGCATAGTATTTCGACAAATTTTACTGTACACTACAATAAATTTTACTATATGCATTACAATAAATTTGTTGTATATATTTAAAAAAAAAAAAGTAAAAATCATATAAAATTCGTCAAAATACCATGTAGTCCTACAATTAACATTGATTTTCAGGGTAAATTTTAAACTAAAATTCTCTCCGTGTAATTTGATTAATTTTAATTTAAAGGAACTGCAAAGAGGGACGTTAGTCCATCCATCTTTGTCAATCGGAGAGACTTCATTTCTCGGAATTCCGAAAAAAGGGGAATCAGTGTCAGAAGGATCACGTGGTTAAACCGACGCGACGGCGGCGCGCGAGCCTATAATTATTTATGACGGATATTTCAATTCAACGCCGGAACTGCATTCTTTCGCTGCCACGCTTGACGGAAATGCGAAATAAAAGGGGGAAAGGGCGCGTGACAAACGTGAGAGCGATCCATGAGCGTTCTCGCATTCCCGAATGCCGCCGCCGCCGCCGCGACGTCTCCGTCGGCGATCGATAAATTTAATTACGTATACACATATACACGCGACAGCCAGCCGTTTCTCCGCGGATGGCGAAACTGTGCCGAGCACGAGAGGCGTTCGCCAATCGTACTCGCATGACCGACTGACCAATGACTTTTCCTATTATTGTCAACCGAGATAATGATAAGATAGCATGACGCGGCGGAATCGACAGGTGATTTCCGTTCCGTTTTGATTTTCTCAATGTATATATTTCTGATAATAGCGTCACGCATAATTGAATCCGATCTTGTTACTCATCTTGTTACAGTGTTAAGCTTATGAAAAATGGATAGATGATTATAAGGGAATAAACAAATTCTGTGAGTATAATTAATTTACGAGTCGAAAATTAGACTCATCGAGACGAAGCTGCGTCCAACGAAAAAGTACAGTGCAACCGACCGCGATAGCATTAAACGGTACAGAAAAGCAAGGCGTACCTTACAAATAGAAGAGAAAAAAAAGGGAGAGTTAATTAAAATGTTTCGATCGGAAGGCAAATGCATGAATATCGTTAAAAATCCACGAAAGAAAATTTTACTCTGTGAAAGGGAATCGTTGCGTAAAATCGCTTCGTGCAACTTCACTGTAAATCCATAGTGTGCAAAAAAGTGCCTCGTCCGTGTAAAAATAACACACTATATTGTATAAAAAATAAAAATTTGCACGATAAATGTGTTATTTTTACATGAATGTGGTACTTTTTACACACTATACATTTGCAGTGTTACAATACATACGTATTGTGCGAAAAGACTGATTCCGTTTTCATAAACAGCAAGAAATTACGCGGGACCCATGTTTGTTAAGGAAATTTTCTCAAAAAGAGAAAAATTAAATTTAATTTTCAAAGAACAAATAGAAAATCGCTAGCCAATTTTGTCGCGGTCAAAAGATCGTGGGAGAACGGAGTCTCGATCGTAACGTGCTCCGTCTAATGCGGACCTTCATTCGGAACTGCGTCGACTTAACGCGACGCGAGTAAAATTTTGCGATTCGAGGCGGGCCCGGCAATTCGGACCCCGGAACGGCCTTCGGAATCTTCGAGACAATTCGCGAAAATTGCAAATCGAGCCCGCGTGCGCGCGTGCACTCGGCGTAGGCAGGCCTTCACGCTGCCTACACGCGTGCGCGCGCGCGCGCGGCCGGTTTTGCTCGCCGTGTCGTCCCACGGTGCGCGTCTGGCCGGTTTTATGTAACGCGATTCGCGTAATCGCGTACCTCCTTCACCCGGCGCGAACTCCGGAGGAGCGAGAGGATATACGGCCCCTCAAAGATGGCCTCTCCGTGCCGCTGTCAAATTCGCGGCACCTCGGGGACGGCACGCCGGGACGCGTGCGATGACGGGACGACGACGACGGGCGCGTACCGCCCGCCCGCCTCGAGTCTCGCAGGTTAATTAATCCAGATCTAAGTAGTTGGTACTCACGATAATGAGGACGACGGTGTTCGAGGAGCCTACCGTGCGTCGCGCGAGATCCCAGCGAGGAGGGTCCCACCACCTGACGTGATTTCCCGATGTGGGCAGTCACACACGGTCGGAGAGGAGTGCACGCCGCCACTTGCTGCACGGCCACTTGCGTGCGCCGCGCCGCGCCGTTTGCGTTTTCGCAGGGTTCTGTGTCACGAGCGCGCGCGTGTTGGAGCGCGAGCGCGAGAGGAGCGAAGCGACCGTCGAGGCGCGCGTCGTTGCACCCCGGGAGAAACGCGGTCACCGCCGAACACCGTATAAACAGCCGTGCGTTGACTCGACCGGAACCACGGCCGCGCGGAGTTCGATCGGTCGCGATCAGTTGTCGTAAACACTGGTCGCCATGCTTGCCGAGGCACCTGTCAATACGGACGGCGGCCGCGCCGCCATCTTGCGTGCGCGCGCGACACTGCTGGCGCCGCGCCGGCGCCGACAGATGGCGCGCATGTATTGCCCATTAGCTCGCCGTGACGTGACCGGCACGGCGGGACACCGGTTGTCGGTTAGTTACCGCGGAGAGAGTTGATTGAATTAATTCGATTCTTGTGCATAATTCCTTTTGAAATAGGGTAATTGTTTCAATTACTGCCGCTTTAAGAACATAATGACATTTGATATGCTTATTTTGATGCTTTTAAATACGTAATAGATCGATATTATTTCTTTATCATTATTTAAGTAAACATTCTTTAAGAGGATCCTAAACCCTAGATCAAACTCCAAAATCCGCTGTTTTACCGACAATTTGTGAGTATGATGCGTGCGATATTGATGTAATATAGAGTCCTAGAAAACAGAGATGCGACATTGAAGGGTATATGGTCTGATTGGATGTCTAAATCACATGACAAAGCACCAATCAAATGATCAAAGCGCCATTTTAATTCACTATTGCACCTAATGCATCAAGATACAGCTTTGTAAAGTATGTACAGTTCGTGCCATTAATGCCTGGGGTCCGATTTTAGGGTCCACGTATCGTTCTTAATTATTTTTATGTCCATGACTAAGCTGCGTCAGTAAAGTGCATCAGTATAGTGCAAAT